CAATTGAGTTTGGAAAAAATTAGGTAAAAAAATACTCAAAATTATATTATTTTAATAAAATATCATGAGAAAAAAACTAAAATAATTTCTTTTTTGTTTTAAAAATAATATATTTAAATATTTTTAATAAAAATTTATTAAAATAACATAATTTTAAGATATTTTTCTATAATTTTTCTAACAAATTATGAATATGATTGATAAATAATTTTTTCCATTTTTTTTCCTTTTTGAGGAATGAAACCAAATGGAGACAAGAAAGAAAGGGGATGCTTGACAAAGTCATATGTACTTTTGTTATTTTTTATTGGGTTTGCCTAATTTATGTCTAAAAATATATTAAATATACATTTTTATTATAAACTTGTATTGAAAAAATAAAAATTAACATTTAATTTATTAATTATTCAATTAAACTCAGTTATTTGACACTTACATTAAAATTAATATCAACTTTTATATTTTTTTATATCCATTTATAATAAAAAAATATTTTTAACCTATACCATAATAAAACCCTTCTTTTTTTTGCACAAGCCGCAAAGACCCCCAATTTAGAACTGATCGAAAGAAAGAGAAGTATTCACTGCAAGAAAATGGTTTTTTGTAACTAAAAATGATGATTGATTATCAGTTAGTCACTAATGTTTTTTTATATTTGTAATTAATTTAAAATAATAATCACTAATATTAATTTTTAATATTATAATATTTAATTTGGACACAAAAATTGTATTTAGTTACTAAAAATTTATCACAATAAACTATTTAAATTTGTGACGGTCAAAATCATCATAAATAAATTAATTATTAGTTACAAATGATAAATTTATATCACAGATATTATTTTTTTCTTATGACTAAAATTATGATTTATAACAAATATATTTTGTGATTACATGTGATTTGTTACTAAAAAAATACAAAATGTAACAAAATTTTTTATCACAAGTAGTCCACAATTGAACTTAAATAAATTAATTAATTAATTACAACAATATTAATCACTATAAATTAGGTGAATATTCAAGATACTGAAATAGTGAGGAGATCAGATAAAGGCCTCAAAGACAC